GAAATACCGTTCTTGAACATCTCGTTGCCGGAGTAGCCTTGCCAGATGAATGTCCAGCCACCGCATTGTAGACCGACGTTATCAGCCGAGTGACCCGTGAGGAATACGGACGCGCTTTTCGGTAGCGGCAGCACATCGTCTTCGTTCTTGAGCAACACGATGGACTCGCGCGCCATCTCCAACGCAGTCTCCTTGTCCTTCTCATTTGCCGTCATCGATACGTAGTCTTTACCAGGCACCGGGTTGTCGTACAATCCGAGCTGGAGCTTCAGCTTGATGATGCGCTTGGCTGACTCACGCAGGCGAGCCTCCTGGTTGGGGTTCTCCTTGAGCATATTCAGACCGTACTCGATGAAGTCCGTGTCCGTAGCCACCATACTCATGTCGATGGATGTCTGTTTAAGTGACGTACCGACAGCTTCTTCACGGGTGGCCGACACGCGGTGGAAGTCGTGGAGGTTGTAGATTTCATTCCAGTCCGAGAGTAGCAAACCGTTAAAACCGAGATCGGATCGAAGGAGGTCATTCAGGATCCTCGAGCTGGCGATGACGGGATCGCCGTTAAGGGAGATGTAGTTCTCCATTGTAGTCAGCGCACCCGCCTCGAAGGCAGCTTTGAACGGTGGCAGGAAGTAGTTTAGCAGGTCGAAGTCCGGCATGTTCACGTTGTCTCTGTCATGACCCGTGGGCGTCTTGGAATATCCGATGAAGTGCTTGATGCATGCAGCTGTCTGGTTGTAGCTCTGCAGTCCGCGGACGAGAGCAGCGCCCATGACAGATGCCAAATACGGGTCTTCACCGAACGTCTCAAACGTACGAGACCAAAGCGTGTTTTGGGAGATATCCAAGATGGGACCAAACACCCAACTGATTCCAGCGGCCTCAGTGTCGCGAGCAGTGATACGAGCCACCTCGTAGACCAGGTCGGGGTTGAAACTAGCTCCGCTGTTGATCTGCTGAGGCATCAGCACAGAACCGTCGACGTAGTTGGCGCCGTGAACGGAGTCAATACCGTAGATGATGGGGTGGCCTCCGTTCTCCTCCATGGAGATTTCCTGGATACGCTGGATGATAGAGCGGAACTCGGAGGCGTTGTAGCCGTAGCTGCCGTTGACAGGCTTGTCCCAGTACGTGTTGAGGTATGAGCCGACGTGCTGCTGAGCAAACGAACGCACCGCGGTCTCGTTGAGCTCACGGGTAGTATCGTTCATGACGGTGCTGAGCGTAAGCTGTGTCATCTGACCCAGCAATTGCTCCGCCGAGAAGCCGTCCACGATAGCTTGAGCTTGAGCATCGTAGGCATCGCCTGCGGCTACTGCGGAAGCAAGTGCTGCCGCAGAGCAAATAGTGGCCAGCCAGGACTGGAGCATTGACTTGAATGAACTGCCTTGGCGATGTACTGCAGTTGGTAAATCGAAGAGTGAGCGTTGAGGGATCAGTACGTGAGTTACTCCATTCCAAACAAGCTGTATTGCACAACTTGGGCTTCCCATGATAGTCCCATCTCTGAGAAATACAACGTGGCTATCTTTTTGCGTCCATCCAACATTGCAGATAATCAGATCGCAAGTGATCAATGTACAGTGCATCTGTAAAGGACCATCTTCGCTAACGTACCGGAGCTTACGCTCCCGTTGTCTCCTTGCACGGAACTACAATTTACTAGCTCCGGAAGTTGTCGGCTCCATCGTTTTTTTT